AGAGAACTGAGGTTGTTAGAGGTGGGAAAGGGGGAGGGGGAAGGGAGATTAGTGAGAAATTGGTAAAGGGTCACAAAAATGATAGTGTTGTATAATGTTGAATATACTAATTATCCTGGTTTGAAAATCACATATCGTACACTGGTATTGATATTCAATGCTGCACCCCACAGATATATGCAATCAGTTGTTTCAATTAAAAAAAAGTGCAAAAATCACTGAGGTTTCTACAAACTAATGTTGAACTACCCAGAAGGGAAATTGAGAAAATAATAGTATCTACATTAGGAAAATTAAAGAATAAAAGAGTTAGGAATTAACCGAAGAGATGAAAGACTTATACACTGAAAATTATAAAACATTGATGAAAGAAAATAAACAAGACACCAAGTAAGTGGAAAGACATCTTATGTTTATGGATTGCAAGAACTAATATTGTTACAGTGTCCTCAGATTCAATGCAATTCCTATCAAAATCCCCATGCCTTTCCCCCCCCCCACCAAAATAGAAAAAACAGTTTTAAAATGACTGTGTAACTACAAAGGACTGCCAAGATACAACATAATCTTGAGCAAGAAGAATAAGGCTAGAGGCATCATACTTCCTGATTTCAAATTATATAATGTAGGTATGTTAATGAAAACAGTTTGGTTGTGGCATTAAAATGTACATACAGACCAATGGAACATAATAGAGAACCCAGAAACAAACCTATGCAATAATAATGGTCAACAGATCTTTGACGAGGGAGCCAAGAACACACAATGGGGAAAGTATAATCTTTTGAACAAATGATGTTGGGAAAATTTTATCTCGACATGCAGAAGAATAAAATTGGACCCCTATCTCACACTATATACAAAAATCAATTCAAAATTAAAGACTTAAACATAAAGCCTGAAATAATACTTTTAGAAGAAAGCATAGGGAAAAACCTTCTTGGCTTTGATCTTTGCAATGAATTTTTGGATATTACACGAAAAGCAGAGGTGACAAAAGTGAAAATAGACAAGTGGGATCATATCAAATTTCTGCACAACAGAGGAAAAAAATCAACAAATGAAAAGACAACTTACGGAGTGGGGGAAAATATTTGTAAAACATATCTGATAAGGTGTTAATATCCAAAATATTTAAAGAACTCACATAACTCAATAGCAAGAAAATAACTCAATTCAAAAATAGGCAAAGGGCCTACGTAGACACGTCTAAAAAGGAGAAATTAAAATGGACTAATAGGTATATGGAAAGTTGCTCAACATCTGTAATCATCCGGGAAAGGCAAGTCAAAACTGCAGTGAAGTACCACCTTACATCTGTTAGGATGGCTATCATCAAAACGACAAAAGGGAAGTTAGCAAGGATGTGTAGAAAAGGGAATCCTTGTATGCTGCTGGTGCGAATGTAAATTAGTGCAGCCATTATGCTAAGCAGTATGGAGTTTCCTTAAAAATTTAGTATAGAACTACTATTTGATCCAGCAGTACTTCTTCTGGCTATATATCCAGTTATATATACAAAGGATATATAATGTTCATTGTAGCATTATCCATAATAGCCAAGATATAACAACCTACATGTCTGCCAACAGATGAATGGACAATGTAAATGTGTGTGTGTGTGTGTGTATACAATTTTATTCAACTTTAAGAAATGAAATTCTGCCAATTGTGACAATATGGATGGAGCTAGAGGCCATTAATTAAGCTAAGTGGAATAATCAAGACACAGAAATAGTGCATGATCTCACTTATGCGTGGAATCTAAAATAGTCAAATTTATCGAAGCAGAAAGTAGAATGTTGGTTGCTATGGGGAGGGGCAATGGGGTAGTGTTGGTCAAAGGGTACAAAGTTTCGGTTATGCAAGATGAATAATTTTTGGAGCTGTAATGTACAGCATCATGATTATAGTTAACAAAACAAACAAAAACAGCATAGCAAAAGTTGGTTTTGAATTCAAAGATCTTTTTCATTGGAATATCTACTAATGTAATGTGATAGAAACTGATTAAAAGAAAAAAACTTGCTATTATCAATAGTAAAAAAATAGGATGATCAGGTTTGAATAAGCATGGCACTAATTATATTTACAGAAAAGAGTCTGAGTATTTCCACCTGTCTAACTATTGATTAGTGTGTTATAGTGGAAAGAACATGGGCTTTGGAGATAACTAAGCTCAAATCCTGATTTTACCACAAAATTAGCTATGAGGCCCTTGGCAATTTACTTAACATGATTGATTTCAGTTTCTTTATCTGTAAAATGACAAGTATAATAATAAACCTCTTGTGATGCTTAAATGACATAAGTATATAAAACAGTGATATAGTGCTAACTTGGAGTTTGCTGAACATATGGTCACTCTTACTATTTCTCTCATGTAGCAGATGAGTACTGCGTTGGTTATCTGTGCTTTGTAACAAATCACCTCAAAACTTAGTAACTTAAAACAACAGACATTTATTAGTTCACAATTTCTGTGGGCAAGGAAACCAGGAGTGGCTTGCCTAGTGATTCTTGCTCTGGGTCTCTGCTGAGGTTGCAGTCAAGCTGTCAATCAAGGTAGTAGTCATCTGGGGCTGGAGGATCCATTTCCAAACTCATTCGTGCAGTTATTTACAGGCCTCAGTTCCTCTTTGCTTGTTGGCTAGAAACCTCAGTTCATTGACAAGTGGGCCTTTCCATAACCCAACTGTCTTTATGATGTGGCTGGTGGTTTTCCCATGTAATCCGAGAGAATGGGAAAGAGAAAAAGAGTGAGTTGATAAAATGGAAGCTGCACTGTCTTTTATATCATCACTTTTGCTGTGTTCTTCTGGTTACAATGTAGGAAGATATTACACAGAGGTCTGAATACCAGGTGTCTTAGGTCATTTGGCACTGTCTTGGAGGCTGCATACTACAATTATCAAACACAGGGTGACAGAAGATGTATGACCACTACATTGTAGTTACAGGTGAACTTTGTTATCTTCTGGTACTGGAAAGTAGTACAATATGCATAGGTTAAGTGTATTATTTGCTTTACTTTTAATGTATGTTTTAAATTTGGGAGAGATAATTGGACCAAATAACCTGAATATTTGTAAGAATGAGTTAGGTAGCATAAGATTCTCTTTAATACAGTAGTAAAGTTGACTGTAACTGGAAGAAAATTCCGGTAAAAAGAAAATTTTCTTTTTACCTGAACCTCAGAATTTGTCATTTTAGAATGAATAGATCAGATATTAAAAGCAGAGTGTCCATGTTGTGGGATTTTATAAGAGTTAATACATTATTTCATTCTCAACTTAAGAGAAGTTCTCTAACACAAATACATATCCTCTCTTACTATGTTTTTTAATACAAATAAAATTACATAGTATACTTTATTAATGTATAGTATAATCTACAAATATTCATGCAAAATACAGATTACTGAAATTGTACAAGACTTTAGAAGTTCTCTAGTTTAATTTTCTCATCAATGTAGGTATCCTTTTGTCTTAGTCCATCTTGTGTTGCTATAACAGAGTACCTGGCTGGGTAAAGAAAAGAGGTTTATTTGGCTCACAATTCTGGCAGATGGAAAGTTCAAGATTGGGCAGCTGCATCTGTTGAGGGCCTCATGATGCTTCAACTGATGGCAGAAAGTGGAAGGGGAGCTGTATGCAAAGAGATCAGTCACATAGAGAGAGAGGGAGCAACAGAGAGTCTACAAAGCCAAACTTTTGTAACAGCCCACTCTTTGGTAACTAACTCTTTCGCAAGAAGGACACCAAGCTGCCAAAGAGGGAAGAGCTGTCATGGCTTAAACACCTCCCATTAGGTCCTACTTCTTACAGGTTCAACCTCTCAACATTGCAGTGTTGAGAACCAAGCCTCAAACTGAGTTTTGGTGGGAACAAACCATATTCAAACCATAGCACACTTTAATTAATTTTAATAGTAAACTCCACCTTCCATTTGTATAATGGGTGATTGCTTTCAACACTGTTCTACTTATATTGTCTCATCTGATCACTACAGTAACTCTGTGAGGTATACAGGGCAGGTACTGACCCCATTTTACAGATGTGAAAACTGAATCTAGGACAGGCTAAGTGTCATTTCTAGTGTCATATGACCAATAATTTGCAGAACGAAGGCTTCAAGGACCTGTTCTCTGGCTCCTAGTCCGGTGCTGTTTCTGCATCATACTTTTTCAGATAGTTCAACACATAATTATTTACATAAAATTCTACTAAAATGTTAGTTTTTTCGTATTGAGACAACTTCTGATTTTCTATGATTTATTCTCATTGATGTTGAACCTTATTTCCTGGAGCACAGAACAAGTCTTTTACTTCTCCCATTTGATATTATTTTGAGGAATTAAAGGCAGTTATTATATTTATTCCATTCTCTCTGTTCCTTCAGAGATTTGTATTTCTTATACAAATAATGTGGTTTTTCAGACTTCTCTTCATTTTCCGGTCTCTAGGATAAAATTACTTATATTTCTTGAATGTAATGGTTATAATATATATATACATATATATATATATATATATATAACATATTATAATTTATATAATGGGTTATATTATAGGGACATTAAGGTTTATAAGGATAAGAAATACACAGTATGTTTATTTTAAGTGTTCTCATGGTGCAGTACAATGATAATAGCAAATATTTCTATAGAGCCATGTCTAATACACTGTTGTAAGAGTTTTACATATATTAACTCAATCTTTAAAATATTGCTATGAGTTAAGCACTATTATTATTGTTATTCTCTTTTTATAGATAAGGAAACTGAGACATAGGCTAAAAAACTTGCCCAGGTAAGTGGCCAAGGTAGATTATGCACTCAGGTAGCTTGGCTTCATAGTCTGTGTCCTTAATCATTACTCATGCTCCAGAAGATCTTTCCAGGTTTAGACTTTATATTTCATAGGCCATTTATTTGTTTGCACTTCTGTTAAATGATTGCATATTTTGAAATTAATTATTTGATAATTCACTATATATAGGAGAAGGATGTCCGGAAGTGGAAGGAAGAATTGTTAGATCAACGACGTAGGATGATGGAAGAGAAATTACTTCATGCGGAATTTAAACGAGAGGTGCAATTACAAGCAATTGTGAAAAAAGCACAGGAGGAAGAAGCTAAGGTATATTAAAGGTGCTTTAAACATTGAATTAATTACCCACGTATTTTTTCTGTTGTTATATAATAGTAGTAGAGGGTAATGTTTATGAAGAGTTTAAGGGCCGGCCCGTGGCTCACTTTGGAAAGTGCGGTGCTGATAACACCAAGGCCATGGGTTTGGATCCCTATATAGGGATGGCCGGTTAGCTCACTTGGGAGACCGGGGTGCTGACAACACCAAGTGAAGGGTTAAGATCCCCTTACCGGTCATCTTTAAAAAAAAAAAAAAAGAGTTTATTCTGTCCCAGAATAACAGAGCATTTTATACGCTCACCTGTTAAAACTTAATAGGTGCAATATCTTACTTTATCCTTACAATAATTCTGTGAGCTGTCTTTTTTTTTTTTTTTTTTAGTAGTTCTATTGAGGTATAATTGACAGAGAATAAGGAGCACATATGTAAAGTATTCAATTTGTTTTTTTTTTTTTTTCCTTTTTGTCTTTTTTCGTGTCCGGCAACGGATCGCAACCCTCAGTGTCGCGCCCGTACCGGACCGGGACCGGCAATGGGATTGCAACCCTCGGTGTTGCGCCTGTACCTCGCTCAGCCAGTGAGCGGGAACTGGTCTGTATGTGGGATCCGAACCCTCGGTGGGAGCGCCACTGCGCTCCCAAGCGGCACACTGTAGCAGTGTGCCACCGGGCCGGCCCTTCAATTTGTTGTTTTGACATGTATTTATCTCTGAAACTATCAGTGCAATGAACATAATAAATGATTCCTCTTTGTAATTCATTCCTTCCTCCAACTCTGTTACCATGCAATTGCTTATCTGCTTTCTATCACTATAGATGTTTGCATTTTCTAGAACTTTATGTGAATGGAATCATACAGTGTGTACTCTTTCCTTTGGCTTCTTTCACTCAACACAATTATTTTGAATTTCATCCATAATATTTTGTGTATCAGTAGTTCTTTCCTTTTCATTGCTGAGAAGTATACCACTATATGGAAATACCATAATTTGTTAATCCAGTCACCTGTTGGTGGACATTTGTTTTCTTTCTAGTTTTTGTCCATTACAAATAAAGCTGCTGTGAACATTCTTGTACAAGTCTTTGTAAAGATGTATGCTTTCATTTTCCTTTCATAAATACCTAGGAGTGGATTGGCAGAGTCTGATATCTTCACGTTTTACTTAAAAGAAAAACAAAAAAGCAGTTTTCCAAACTAGCTAAACTATTTCACATTTCTGTCAGCAGTGAATGCAAGTTCTAGTTTTGCCACATTCTGACCAGTAGTTGGCATAATTACACATTTTGATTTTAGTCATCCTATTTTAGTATATGTATAATGTCTCATTTTTTTTCCATTTTTATTGTGGGAAAAATACAAGGTAAAATTTACCACCTTAACTATTATTTAGTGTACAGTTCACTGGTATTAAATATATTCATGATGTACAACCATCACCACCATCCATATGTAGTAGTACTCTTTTCATCTTGTAAAACCAAATTGTGTACCCATTTGTATTAGTCCATTTCTATTGCTTGTAACAAAATACCCAGAACTGGGTATTTTATAAGAAAATAAAAATTTATTGCTTACAGTTTTGGAGGCTGAGAAGTCCACAGTGCAGGGGAACACATCTGGTAAGAAGGGTCTTGGTGGCGACAGTGACCCAGGAGTCTCACATGGCAGAAATTGCAGAGCAAAGAGAGAGAGGTAGCTCCTTATGCACTCTCCTTTTAAAGCCCCCAGAATCACTCCCTTGATTACCATTTTAATCCATTCACTAGGCATGGTCCTCAGAATCTAATCACCTCTCCAAGGCCCCACCTTTCCATTACCGTAATAGGATTTCTCACCTTCTTAACAGACACAGTGGGAATCAAGCTACTAATACATAAAACTTGGGGGACACAATCCATATCACCATTAAATAATAACTCATCATTCCCCACTTCTCCTAGCTCCTTGCAACTAGCCTCCTACTTTCTATTTCTATGATTTTGACAACTCTTATTGCATCATGTAAGTGGAATCATGTAGTATTTGTCTTTTAATGACTGGCTTATTTCACTTAGCATAATGTCTTCAAGGTCTCAGTGTTGTAGCATATGTCAGAATTTCTTTCCTTTTTAAGGCTAAATAATATTCACGTTGATTATCCATTTATCCATGGATGAACACTTGAGTTGCTACTACCTTTTAGCTATTGTGAATACTGTTGCTATAAACATGGGAGTACAAATATCTCTTTGAGTTCCTGCTTTGAACTTTTTTTCTGGTATATGCCCAGAAGTGGAATTGCTGTATTATATGGTATTTCTATTTGTAATTTTTGTAGGAACCATTGTGCTGTTTTCCACAGCAGCAGCACCATTTTGCATTCTCACCACCAGTGCACAAGGGTTCCAGTTACTCCATATCCTCCCAACTCTTGTTATTTTCTGTTTTTTGATAATAGTGATCCTAATGTGTGTTAGGTGGTATCTAATTGTAGTTTTGATTTGCATTTCTCTAACGATTAAGTGATGTTGAGCATCCTTTCATGTACACATTGGCCATTTGTATATCTTCTTTGGACAAATGTCTATTCAAGTCCTTTGTTCACGTTGAATTGACTTGCTTTTTTGTTGGTAAGTGTAGGACTTCTCTATATGTTCTGGTTGTCAATCCCTTATCAAATATATAATTTACAAATATTTTCTCCCATTCTGTGCATTGTGTTTTCATTCTGTTGATAGTGTCTTTTGATGCACAAAATGTTTTAATTTTCATAAAATCCTATTTGCCTATTTTAAATTTTTTAAATTTTATTTTTTATTTTGTTGCCTGTGCCTTTGCTGTCACATCCAAGAAATCACTGTTGAATCCAATGTTATAAAGCTTTTGTCTTGTGTTTTCTTCTAAGAGTTTTATATCTTTAGATCTTACATTTAGATCTTGATACATTTTGAGTTAATTTTTCTGTAGGGTGTTAGGTAAGGATTCAACTTTATTCATTTGCATGTGGCTATCTAGTTTTCCCTTGACCATTTGTTGAAAAGACTGTCCTTTCTCCATTGAATGGTCATGGCACTGTTGTCAAAAATCATTTGACAGTATCTGTGAGGATTTATTTCTTGGCTGTCTATTCCATTGGTCCATTTACCTATTTGTATGCTAGTACCACTGTTTTGATTACTGTTTGTAGTGAGTTTTGAAATCAGGAAGTGTGAGTTCTCCAATTTTGTTGTCCTTTTTCAAGATTGTTTCAGCTATTCAGGGTCCCTTGAGATTTCATATAATTTTTAGGATGGTGTTTTTCTATTTCTGCAAAATCGTTTCTGGGATTTTGATAGGGATTGCATTGAATCCATAGATCACTTGGGTATTACTGATATCTTAACAACATTAAGTCTTCCAATTCATGAACATGGAATGATTTTCCATTTATTTATGTCTTTATATTTTTCAACGATATTTTGTAGCTTTCATTGTATGTGTCTTAAACTTCCTTGGTTAAGTTAATTCCTAAGTATTTTATTTTTCTTAATGCTATTGTTAATGGAATTGTTTTCTTAATGTCCTTTTCAGATTATTCACTGGTATGGTGTGGAAATGCAATTGATCTTTGTATGTTGGCTTTGTATCCTGCTACTTTCCTGAATATTTATTAATTCTAATGTTTTTCTTTTGTATGTGTCTGTGAAATCTTTTATGCATATAAGATCATATCATCTGCAGAGATAATTTTACTGCTTCTTTTTCAATTTGTATGCCTTTTATTCTTCTTTCTTGCCTAATTGTTCTGGCTGAAACTTCCTGTGCTATGTTGAATAGAAATGGTGAAAGCAGATATCCTAATCTTGTTTTGTATCCTAGAGGAAAAGCTTTTAGTCTTTCACCATTGAGCATGATGTTCACTGAGATTTTTCATGTTTGGCTTTTATTACTTTGAGTTTGTTTCTTTCTATTCCTTAGATTCCTTGTTGAGTATTTTAATCATGAAAGGGTGTGGAATTTTGTCAAATGGTTTTTCTGCATCAGTTGAGATTTTGTGTCTGGTGTGTGTTTGCCATTATTCTGTTAATGTCTTATATTACATGGTTGAATTTTTATTTGAACCAGTTTTACCTTCCAGGAATAAATAATGCTTGGTCATATTATTATGTTGCCGAGTTCAGTTTTCTAGTATTTTGTTGAAGGTTTTGACATCAGTGTTCATAAGGGATATTGATCTATAGTGTTCTTTTCCTTGTAGTCCCTGCCTGGCTTTTGTATCAGGGTAATGCTTAGCCTCATGGGATGAGTTAGGATGTGTTACTTCCACTTCTATTTTTTGGAATGTTTGAAGAAGTGTTGGTGTTAGTTCTTTAAATGTTTGGTAGAGTTCACCCATGAAGCCATCAGGTCCAGGGCTTTTCTTTGTTGGGATATTTTTGATTATTGATTAATGTTCTTACTAGTTATAGTCTATTCATATTATCTGTGTCTTTGTGATTTAATCTTTATAGGTTTTATATTTGTATATGGTGTGAGTTATGGATTGAGATTCAGTTTTTTCATATGCATGTGTAATGTTCTAGCACCAGTTGTTGAAAAGACTATCCTTTTTGTATTGAGTTGCCTTAGTACCCTGTTGAAAATCAATTGGCCATAAGTGTGTGGATTCCTTTCTTACTCTCCATTCTGTTTCGTCTATCCCTCTGCATATTTTTTTGTTACCAACCACTCTATCTTAATTACTGTACTTTTATAATAAGTCTTGAAATCAGGAAGTGTAAATCCTTAAGCTTTGTTCTTTTGAAAAACTATTTTGGCTATTTCAGAATCACCTTGTGAATGTCTACAAATTTTTTTCAAAAAGCTTACCTGGATTTTGATTGGGATTGCATTGAGTTTATACATTAATTGGGGATAGAATTGACATCTTAATGCTATTGAGTGTTCTGATCCATGAGCAGGGAATGTATCTCTAGATGCTTGTCTTTGCATGTATTTGTGAAGTTTATCTGTAGTTCATATTTTTGATG